GAGGGGGAGGGGGAGGGAAGGGAAGGGAGGGGAAGGGAGGGGGGAAGGGAAGGGAAGGGTGGAGGATGGGCAATGAATAATCAACACCTCATGGAAGGACGAGGTGAAGAAGAAGGTGGGGCGAGGGAATTAGTATTACTATTATTATGATTATTATGATTACTATGAATTTTGGGTTGGGAGGGAAATATGCGAAACCAATCCAGAAGAGGTAAAAAGAAGATACGAGGAGAGTGGGAATGGGAATGAGATGGTAAGGGAATGGGTATGGGAATGGAATGAGGAGAGAAACACCATTTTGAGGGTTATAAAATGGCAATCAGTGGCACAGGCTGAAAGCGTAAGCCTAAATTAAGGATCCACCAACGGAATGGGAAACGATCCCCACAAACAAAATAGGAACAACAAATAACTCTGACCAACCACATTAACCAACACATATGTTTCTGTCTCTGCCTTGTGAAGAAGAAGAAGAAGAAGACGAAGAAGAAGATGAAGAGGAAGCGTTTTCAGCCGTTGAGGGAGGGAGGCCTCAGCAGGGCATGACGCGGGAGGAGCTCAAGCAACCAACCCCTTTGGTTGCGGCTTAACTGGCCTTCCAAGTTTCAACTAACCAAAGCATTAACTTTAATTAGCTTCCATTCCCCAATATTATTATTATGTTTATTTTCCATAATGGATACCCTCACCCTTCCTAACTTCACGAAAACCTTCACCCTCCTTAAAATGCATTTATTTTAACCAATCAAAATTGTATATTTTTATTCCATTTTTCAAAACTCTAATATTTAACGATATAAAATTATTTTAAATGTTATATTTTCCTAAAATAAAAGTATTAATAAGAAGAAGTCCGGAGGGTTGAAGCTTAATTATACAGCGAACTGAAAAGTGGAGGGAGGAAGATCGCGCTTCCGGCCAAAGAGTCAACAACACAACACACAGTCGATTCGATTTAATTAGAAGATGGCATGGAGTGCGACGATGATCGGAGCCCTTCTGGGGCTTGGCACTCAGATGTATTCCAATGCTCTCCGTAAACTCCCTTACATGCGCCGTACGTCCATCTCTGAAAACAAAAACAAAAACCCTAACCTTCTCCTTTCCCTATCAGATTCTTCACATCTCTTCCACTGTTTTCGATTTCTATCATTGACTCCATCTTCTTATTTCGCAGATCCCTGGGAGCACGTGGTTGGAATGGGATTGGGAGCCGTCTTCGTCAATCAGCTCGTCAAATGGGACGCTAAGCTCCAGGAGGACCTTGACAAGATGCTCGAGAAGGCCAAAGCTGCCAACGAGCGCCGTTACTTTGGTCTTTTTCTTCTCCTATCATCTAATTTTGTTACCGTTCCTCTTAAATTTCCTTTGCTCCCCTACCATTGTCATTTCTTTTATACCATTGCAAATTTCGATTGCCGCTCTTATTCATTTATCTAGTCCGCCGATTAGCGCTAGGTTTTCATGCCTAACAAATATCGTCTCATTTTTTTCCGCCACCAAGATATAAACTTATTGTGCCACTTCCTGCGTTATGTTTTGTGTGGTTGTACGGTTTGGTCAATGTTTTATGATTTTTTTTTTTTAAGAAACAATTCCATTCCATTGATTGAAGCTTACAAAAGGATGTAGTATCCATGATTTTTTTAAAAGGCTTCCCCAATTTACCATTTGGGAGGTATAACTGAAGTAAAAATATTAGACAATTTCTAAATCTGTCTTTTCTGCGATTGTTCTTTGATTTCCTTCTTTTCACAATTTCCAAAAAAAAGTCAGTGATGAGGTTTTTCCATAGTAGGGTTTTTGCATTCTTTTAGGGATGATATGTTAAGGCTGTGTCCAATAGATCCTATACCTCCTTAGGAAATGTGAGATGTCATCCAAAGATATTGAGAATCGTTGTCTAGAAATTTTGAGCACATGTGCATGATATAAATAAGTGGATTTGTGATTCGTTTTTTTTTTTTTTTTGCATAATAAACACCAATTTGGAGATAGAGTCATGCAAGACATTCTTTTTTTGAAGATTTTCATTTGTGCTCATGACTTAATGTGCTATTTCTCAAAGGAAGTACTTCACTTTTTTAGGGTGATCTTCTTTCCATATTGTCTTTGCTAGCGTGGAATTTATTGGTTCTTCTTTTTCCCATATGTCCATCATCAAAGATTTTGTAGAGAAGCTTCCGTCAACACTGGAAAGACAAGCCAATGAGTCTACTTCATTTGACAATACAACTGGGGAAAGGTTGAGACTTAATTTGGCCAATTCCGTTGCTTCGTCATCCTTTAGGTTCATACCAAGCTTTAGGTCCCGAAATTTGTTGACAACATTCCATATTTCTTCGGACGTGGCTCTTTTACCGTGAGAAAGTCTTTACGAAAGTTTATACTGCAAGGCTAGCATGGTGTTTTCAATATATGGGTCGGTCTATAATAATGTGCTTCTTCCATCACACGTCCTATGGCGAATTCGATTGGTGATGAGGTTTTGATTTTTCTTTATATACTTCCAGGCCCCTATTTAGGAATATATTTAGCCTTTATAAGTTTTCTCCGCAGGACATTTTCAATGTTTATAACTTTTGAAGGATCAGAAGAGGATAATCATCTGTACTTGGATTGGAATATTTTGGGGCCAATGGTTCGTTAATTCTGTGTTAGATCACAATTACATAGAAACTCCCCATTGCAATTAATAAGATAGATTGACTAGTTTAGATACACAAATCCTCATGTAGAGATTTCCGACTAGAAATCACGTGCAGTACAATTTCTAGAACCATACATTACAAGGGTTCTGTTGTTTCTTTCTATCTGAATAGATCACGAGGGAATTTGATGCCTTATCCAAAGTTTGTTTTTCCTCTAAACCATTCACTTGGAGTAAGGCAGTAGTTTCTTGATATATTTGATTAATCACATAGATTAATCTTGATTAGTTTAGTTAGTTTCGTTTTACTGTTGTCGGTTTTTAAGTTGGTTTTTTTAGGCTTCAGTTGTTGGCCACGGTATAAATGCAGTCCTCATGAAGATCCGCCAGAATTCAGTGGCCTAAAAGAGTAATTGATATCCATGTGGGGAAATTCAAGTCCTATGGCTCACATGGCTACTTTAGTTTAAGAAAAAGTGTGTCTTTCCTTCCCTCAAAGATGCTTCTTTGCACACTGCTACTTGCTATCCTCAATTCTAAGTTTATAACTATCTTACCAAGGGCTCACATATACTTACTCTGTGAAAGCCTCCTACAGTGGAGATCCCACGTTTGTGTGCAAAAGCTCCAAGACCCTTTGATGGGTGTATTTTTCTGGTTAGATTCAAAAGCCTCGGGAACGTCTTGTGGAGAGGGTCATATGAAGCTATATCTACTTCTAAACAACAAGCTGGTGGTTAAACCGCTGTCCACAGAACTTCTTGGTCTTGGATATGACAGGCTCCTGACATAGTGATATTTAATATTTAGATTTTTGGGGCCTCTGGAGAGTGATTAGAAAAGTCCCCGTCCATGATCTTAACTTGGTGGAGCCATATTTTGTCACCACGACATTCTTTCAAAGGCTTCTTTTTCCACATGAAATCCCCACATCCACTTTGCAAGAAGTTTTTGGTTCTTTGTTTAAAATACCGATGGCAAACCTCCCAATTCATTGATTGTTCCTTCCTTCAGTTCACAAGATGACAACCATCGGAATTGTTTGCTCCCTTCAATGGAAGTCCCTAAATAGCTTTCCAATCGAGTATATTATGTTATTGGGCTCAAAGAACAAGGACATGTAGTAGATATACTTGAATTTGTTGTTCAATTTGTATAAGTTGTGATCTTTAGGTCAAACTTGGCTCAATCAGTTTGGTTGAGGGGTAGGAATTTACTTCTCCCCAAATCTTTTTTCCTCATTTCTTCTGTACAGGGAGGCTTGTCTGTGTGTAAATTTGAATCAGCCTAGTGACGTCTCCATCTAAATAAATGGTGCAGTTGCTATTTGGGGAGCATTAGAGCAAATCCCAAAATTCGATAAGATTGAAATTTCAAATTAAATGTATAGTGTGGGTCATTAAGATTAGTGTGATTTTCTCAATAAAAAAAATTAGGGTTGTAACGTGCTTTTCTTATTCTACCATTTGCTGCCGAGGATACCATTCTATCTGCGTTGTTTTTTTTTAGCGTTTTCTATTTTTCTATTTGGTAATTTAATGAACCTTCTCTGTGTATTTCTAAGGTAAATTTTCCATCAATTGCAGATGACGACGACGATTGATTGTGGAAGCCTTGCTATGGATGCGGCTTTTCTATAAGAAGTCAACTGTGTTCACTTTTTTGTTTTTCTTTATCAATTTTTTAAATATAAGTCACCCATGTTTTCAGAGAATGAGGTTGTGTTGAGCCTCATTGTCAGTTATGGACGCACTTTTCTGAAATATTTGAACATTCCTAGCCTTTGTTGGGTAGCTCCTTTGTTTCTGCTCAACAGAAACTTAAATAGGAAGGGTACTGTTTAAGTTCTGAAATAATAAGGAATTACCATTTGTGTAATATTATAAGCTGATGCTCTCTCCCTCTTAAGTTTTAACTTAATTCCATTTCATAGACGTCCAAGTTGGTCATCCTTGCTATCCGACGTCTGCATTCTTGTAAATCTAGCCATGGCATATGAAAACTTTTTGTTATGTTTCTTCAGATGATAGAACGGAGTTGGATAAAACTTTCTGGGGGTTGTTAATTCTAAGTAGCAAGTGTGTACAAGTCCTTGAAAGGCTAACTGATCTGGTTATTTGTCTATGTAGCAAACACGTATGAGACTGTCAGAGCAATGGGAATACAACCTTGACCATGGTTGGACAAGTTTCTTTTCCACCTAAACTTTTACGTGGAGTAAGCTTCATGACTTAGTAAGTGTAGAGTAATGAGAATTTAAGTTTG